GGGCGTCGCTGGGGCCCCCTGGGGGGAGGCCTGTGGGACCGGCGGGCGGCATTCAGCGCTCGCTTGCTCCTCTGGGAGACGCGCGCTGTGACACGCTCTTTTTCCGGAACTTGACGAAAAGTTTTCCCCCTCAAACGCAGGCTCCTGCGCGCCGGGCACGCGCGGGGTCCGGGGCCGGAGAGCAGCCGGCTTGGCGCACCGGACCCCCTTTTCTCGGAAGCCCGACTCCCTGGTACCCATTCTGTTTAGAGCAGGAGTCTCAGACCCGCGCCCTCATCGGACCTCCTGTCCCCGGAGCACCCCTTCCCCTGGCCGAGGAGACCTTGGCCAGCGGGCTCCCACGGGGCTGGCTGGGAGGCTAGAGCCCGCCTGAGCCAGCAGCCCTGCATAGGCGACCCTAATTGGGAGGGGACTGGGAGGAGCTGCCTGGAGGGCTCCGATATTCCTGGGGCACCACCCTCCTCCCAGGAGCCTGTTTCACCGCCGCGGGCAGGACGGCCCTGATGAGGACTGCTGGGCAGGAGGACGGACACTGGCCTTGCAGACTCCCGATCAAGTCCTGGTGAGGCCCAGGCAGTGGGCATTTCAGAGATGCCTGGCCCGCACCAGGCGGCTGCACCCATCCTGTCTTAACGTTGCATTGGGAGCGCTTTCTCCGACGAGGAATAGAAGCTTTGCTTTGGGAAGTTCTGTGTGCACCGGTGCATCTTGCCACTGTCAGAGGCTCTTGAGCGTTGCTTTGACGATTTTGTTTACTGAGGCTAGCTGAGGAGGTAGTCGTGGTGTCTTGGGGTCAGAGTTCACTCTCTTGCCCCCAGATTCTGCAGAGTGCTGGCACCTGGTGGTGTGTTGGCTGGCTTTCAGAGGATGGTTTACCTGCTGGGCACGTGTAGGAGCTTTGCTTGGATTGGTCTGTTCCTTAACAGTGATCTGGAACACTTCCTGTTGCCCAGTTTATCCGGCCAGTACCAGCAGTTTCTTCCAAGAAACCTCCTACCCTGTCCCACCTGGGTCCCCTCCTCCTCGCTGTCTTACTGTCTTAGTTGTGCTAAATGTTTGAGCCCTGGGATTGTGGGCTCCATAATCCTAATGAGATCCCAGCTTTAACGGGAACTTGTTACTTGATGGCCAGAGATTGGGTGAGTACACCTTTTGAGAAACTTGTAAGGGAGCTGAGACTAAGGAAGATAAAGCCAGTGGTCTGGGAATCACCCTGATGGAGAGGGGCAGAGATGGGATTCGAACTGAGGCAAGTCACTGGCAGGGCTTGGATCCCTCGATGTCCTCCACAGGCTGAGAGCCGGCTCTGCTCGGTCCCACTCAGCTCTGCTGTGCACTGGGGGGCCGGGCTGGAGTCCTGTCTGGGCTGAGTTTTCCGTGCACCCCAACCAGCTCCTCTCACGTTCAGGTTGGTGCTGCCTCCCTGGCCTGCTGACCCCTGTGTTCAGCCCTGCAGTTCCCCTGCCTTAGGAAACTCTTCTCCAACCCCTCCTCCTCACTCCTGGTCCTTCACGCTTCTGCTTTCCGTCTGCCCACCAGGTTGGTTTCCTCCCTGTGCTGTGGGGCAGGCTTCCCTAAAAGTGAGGACTTGGCTTATCAGGGCAACTTTCCTTTTTTAGTTAGGTTTTTACCATTGGACTCGAGCTTGCTGTAGCAGTGAGAGGGAAAGTGAGAAATCACCTGGGAGGGATGGCCATGCTGTAATCCCTTCTCCTCCATTCTCCTTTCGGGATTTTTGGGCATGCACACACACCCACCTGTGTGATTTTTGAGCCAATAGGTCTGGGACTTGAACTGTAGTCAGCCAAGTGGGAGTCCAGTGCTGTAACCACTATGGCACCTGCTGGCCCCAAGAGCAGCTTGTTTCAGAGTCTGTCTACTCCAGCAGATAAGTATGTATTCTGTGATAACGTTTGTTTTAGTACTAGATACAAGGTTTCTTGGACTTGAATTGTTTAGACTTCTTCTTTCATGAGTTGGAAGTCTTTCAGGGAATGACCAGCTTGACTTCCCCTTATTATATAGATGGGGAAGTCGAAGCCCAAGCTCCGTCAGTCCACACACAGGTGTGAGAGATGTTAGTGACAGGAAGAAGTGCTACAGCGGTGTATCTGAGCTGGCTTATGCAAATGCTTGCCAAAACAGTGGGGCTGAGTTGGCTGGCTGTTTCCAGTGCCCAGGAAGCGATAACACCAGTCAGTGTCATCTAAGACATGATTCTAAAGGCATAATGTGGATCTCTTCCGCTAATCATGTCAGCTTTCTAATGAGGTGGGGTCTGTTGTCCCCATTTTATTGTGAAGAAACTGAGGTACAGAGAAGTTAAATTAGTCCAAGGTCACAGAACTGGTAAGTGGAGAAGATGGGATTTGAACCCACACAATCTATTTCAAGAACCCACATTATTTTTCCCCCCCATTTAAAACTTTCTTTTTGAAGTCTCAAATACAGAAAAGTATAACGATTGAGTGTTCAGTTTCTGTATCATCACAAAATTTAGGGCTTGTATTCTTTTATTTTTTAAAAGAATCATTTAATTTTACTCATCGTTATTATTTTTTAAACTTGAGAATGAGAGAGAGAGAGAGAGAACAAGCTAACAGGGAACCGCGGTCCACCATGTGGGAGTCCAGCGCCGTAACTACCATACCACTTGCTAGTCTCAAGGTTTGTATTCTTAAGTACTCCCGGAAGTGACGTATGGGCTTTAAAGTCGGATCTGAATCCAGTTTCAGTTGCCCTGTGACCTCTGGTGAGGTCCTGTGCCTGAGTCTTACGGGCTTCTCAGCGTACTGGGCAGACTTGCGATGACTAGAGCTTGTGATGGTACCTGGCACATGGGTGCACGGTGACTGCTCAGTGTACAATTTCTCTGAGTTTATTTATTTTTTTAAGGATTATTTAAGTTATTATTTTTATATTGACCAGAGGAGAGAGACAGAGAAGGAGAGAAAAGGAAAGTGAGAAAGGTAGCCGTCAGATCCAGGACTTGAACTGTAATTGGCCATGCGGGAGTCCGGCACCTTAACCACCACGCCGTCTGCTGGTCTCTCTATACGTTTATTTCTTAAAAGAGAAACGGGCACCCTTAGCAGGATCTTGGCCATGGTGTCTGTCCCCTTCAGCACAACCTTCGCCGTTTCCCGTCCAGTTGGGATCCGAGCTGAAGCTGCGCCTTCCTCCTGGCTCCACCCTTGCAGAGCGGTGTCCAGTTGCCTGTGTCAAGGTGGCTAGGCCTCGTTTCTCTGACCAGTAATGAAGATTGTATGTTATTTGGGCTTCGTTACGTGGCCTGAGTATCTTCCTAACCTGTCTGTTGTCTCCCAGTCACTTCACAAGGATTTATGAAAACTAGTTAGTTTTAGTAAATCACTAAGTGTAGCTGAAACATTTCAGAGCGAGAACAGCTTCCTTGTAAAGTCCTTAACGCGGTCCAAAAAGCATGTTTCTGTAAGTTTATCGTAGGTTCCAAGAAGTTCCCTGAACTGTTTTATCTGATCGGATCCCGGTCTCCGCGCAGCCAAATTCTGGTGACCTCTTCTGATGCCTGAGCTTCCTCTCTCTGGCAAAGTAGCTGTGCAACCTTAGCTTGAATGTCCGGAGAGGCCTGTTTCCTTACTGAAGCACAGTTGTGGCATCTGGGGGGCTGCACCTCGGGCGGAATCCAGGAGCTGTGAGGGTCCAGGTCGGGGAGGGCACCGCAGCCTCTGGATGGCAGAGAGCTAAACTGAAAAAATTTTAAAAACATTATGTTAAGTGCCAGGTGTCTGAAAGTTCAGAGTAATATATGAGCTTACAGAAACTGTTTTTTTAGGATTATGTTTATCCTAATGAATAGCCCATTTAAAAATCAAGCTACTTTTGCAATTGACTTTTCCTTTCTACATCCTGCAAGTTAATCCCTTAATGTAGGTGCTTCTAGAGCAGTTTGAAGCGTGAGCAGGTGAGAGCTGAACCAGGTTAGCCCGGCGGGGGCTACTGCACATCACCCTGTATGCCTCTGTTTCCTTGTCTGTGAAGTGCTCCTAAGGCTCAGCTCCTTGGGTGTTGATGGAGTTTACGTAGATAGAAGGTGTGGACGTGGAACTCAGTGCCCACATGCCATGTGCCCTTGGTGAGCAGAGGCAGCTGCTCCTGTTAATTGTTAATGCTGAGGCACCGAGAGCCAGGAACCTCTTGCTCATTCTTGTTGAAGCCAGGACTTGAATTTAAGATGGGAAAGTGACTCACAGTGGTTCTTGCCTGTGGCGCCCTCTACAGAGCAGGTGGCGTTTCATGGGCGATGCCATTTAGAGCAGTGGATTCTCCTTGGTGTAAGGACCTCATTTTGGAGGGTTGACTAGGCTAATTGTTTTTGGGGGACTATCCAGTCCTCTAGCGTTGAGGTGAAGGCCTGGTGGAACAGCCATTCCTGTGAGGAGGCTGTTGGTCCTACCAGAATCTTCACCTGGAAACACGAAAGACCCTTGAGAGGCCTTGTGAGAATGCCATGGGTGCTGGAGACAGAAGATTCGGGTGGGGCCATGTCTGTGAGACTTCGGGTGGGTCTCTGCATCTACTGTAGCCCAGATTTCTTCTTCTTCTTTTTTTTTTTTTTTGCTATAGGTGTGTGCACTTGTCAGAGAGGGACAGAGAAGAAAAGTGACTCTTCCCCTCATCCCTCAGGGAGAATGGCCACAACTGCAAACCAGTCTCCTCCATTCTGCTCTTGGGAATTTGGGCATATGTGCGCATGTGCCTGGAGTGTTTTCTTCAGGCTGCCGGGTCTGGGACCAGAATTGGAACCATGGAGTCAGCTGCCTGCTGGCCCCGTCCCACCCAGCTTTGTTTGTCCCCTTGTAGAGTGGTAGAATAGAGCCCTTTCACAGGGCCATCAGGATTGGAAGAGGGGCCTGGTGTCTGCCTTAGGCCTTTGTGAGCGGCAGAGCTTATTAAAGGAGCACGGAGCCACAGACTTGGGTCCATGCCTGACTGCTTCTGACAAGGGAGACCTCGGGCCAGCCACGTGCCTCCTCCCACCTCTGCGCAATGGGTATTGAGGGACTCTGAAACAGGTGGTATGTTCAGAGTTTAGACAGGACATGGTGCTCATTAAATTGCAGTTTTACAGTGTTGTGCCGGGCATTTCAGTCCTGGCCCTGCCCTCTTGAAACTTGGGCCCTGTGACATACATGCATGCCTCCAGGCCATGACTGAGTAGAAATGAATCGTGCAAGCTTGACTCTTTAGAATAAAAATCCAAAATCAGCTGCAGAGCTGAGTAGATGAGTCTTGGCAGCAAAGATGAGAGTCAGAGGAAGAAGCAGCACCCCCGTGGTGTTTGCGGTGCAGGAGGCAGTTGTCCTCCCGGGCATCCAGAGAGCAGCCAGGACAGGGAGGGCTGGCAGAGCACATGCCCGGTGGGTGGGAATGAGCCACAGTGAGCTGGAGGCGGTCCTGCACAGAGAGGCAGTGGGACATCCCCTGAAGCCACCAGTGAGTGGGCCCCCTGCTGCTTGGGGATATACTTAAGTAATTTGATTTGTATTTCATAAACTGTTTCTTTTATTTTTGGATACTTTGGCCAAGACCTCACCCTACTGCTTTTTAAGTGTCAGAAAGTATGTGCTCTCACCAGAGAGAGAAAGAGAACCCTCCCAGTGGGGTGTGGTCATGTGATAATTGCCTTTTCTCCGTTCCTCTATCTCATCAGGATTTGGGGCATGCATGCATATGCACCTGGTATGTGCCTTTTTTTTTTTTTTTTAGAATTATTTTGTTTATGTTTATTTATTTAGTTATTTTATTTTGACCACAGAGAGGGACAGAGTGAGAGTGAGAGAGAGTGAGAGGGAAAATGAGAAAGCAAGCCACCAGATCTGGGGCTCGAACCACAGTCAGCCATGTGGGAGTCCAGGTGCCCTTAACCACCACAGCATCTGCTGGCCTCCCCGCACCCCCCCCCCCCATGTGTTTTAAGCTACTGGAACTGGGATATGAACCTCAGTGAGCCATGTGGGATTGTGCTTACAAATCACAGTGCTTAACTGTTGCGCTATAGGCTGGCCCCTCATTGCTTTGTAAGGAGGAGAAAAATCAAACTGTTACCTCTAGATGTACTTGTTTTCTCAAGTTCCATACAGAATCTCCAGCAGAACTCGGTCTGCTTTCTGACTTAAATCAAACTAAATATGTGGCCTGGTGGGGTGAGCTTGTTCAGCTCCCCGGGGGCGGCTGTCCTTGTTTCCTGCAGAGCTGTGTTGTGGCAGGTCATTAAGCTGAGATGGTCTTCCCTCATCTAGACTTCACGTGGTATATGCTTTCTCTTGTCTGGGAAGTGCTGTCTGATGGTCCTTGAGCTTGTGTGTAGTGCAGAGCACGGGCCGGGTTCGGGAGCTGTCCTCACTGTCCCCGGCTGCACTAAGGGTGCAGGCTCTGTAGCCCCTGCTGCAGTGCAGGTGTGCCCTTAGATGTTAGGATTCGGATTCTGGAATGAGTGTACAGGGAGGAATTCCGTCCACGCTCCTGACCGTCGGGCTGACGGTGCCCTTCACCTTCTAGGCTTGCTCCTGACACGGTGTCTAGGGCGGCCGTTCTTAGTTGCCCACGTCTGCTGTCCATACATGCCGTGGGGACTCAGTGGCAGGGAAATTTCTTCCTCAGGTTGTCACCTCTAGTCCTCACCTTGATCTTGGAACACAACCAAGCCCTCAGCAGATGTTTCTTGGATGAGACTGTCTCTGAAACCTGCCCGCTTAAGAATTTAGTTCTTAGTAATAATTAATTCAGCAAATGAATTTTTGATTCCTTAATTCATGTTGGGTACTTGGCTGCGCAGTGGTATCCAGGAACTATTAGCATGTGCCTGAAGGATGGAGTCCGGGGGGGAGACAGACATGAGAAGAATAGTAAAACATGGGGCCAGCAGTTAGCATAATGGCTATGTCACTGGGATTGCGGCGTGGCCATCTCCCGTAGGGGATGACTTCTCGCTTTCTGTCTCTCTGTCACTCTCTGTCTCTCTGGCGAGCGCACGTGCCCTATAGCAAAAACCTCTCCAAAAGAAAAAGGAAAAGAAAAAGAATAGTAAAACATGGTGCAGTTTCTTTAGGTCGAGTGCGGTCAAAAGGAGCCTACGAGGAAGAGGCCCTGCAGCGTCCTGGGTGTTTGGGGAAGGTCTTCAGAAGAGGCCTCTGAAAGCACCAAGTGCATCTTTGTGCCGTGTACTACCAGAGGCCCCAGGGCCCGTGCCTAGCTGGGGAGAGCACCCAGGTGGTGGCGCAGTAGGGCAGGAGGCTGAGAGGTGAGGCTGACTGCGCAAGGCTGGGAAGGCTGTCAGAGGCTGGGAAAGCCCTGGTGCTGGCTCAGGGAATTCAGGCTTCGTCTGCCTTTAGAAGATGTGTGACTTGGAGATGGGCCATCTGCAGCTGGGCTTCTGGCCAGCTTCCAAAGTCCAGCCTCGCCTCGGAAGCAGGCACCTTGTTTGTGCAACCGCTCCCTTACAGGGCAGTGTGGGAAGGCAGGTGGCCTGGGGTATGGCTTCTGGTTTTATGGCACTGGTGGCACCAGACAAAGGGTTAGAGGATAGGTGACACTGGGCCTTTTAGAGTTTGATTGTAGAGTATAAGGCTAGGGGAAGTACTTTTTCCTTTTAGGTTTGTTTCCTCAAAGGCCGACACCCTTCTTGAATTTTAAGGAACTTAAAACTGGACTTGGGACCATGGAGGCCTCAAAGCCACTTAAATTCTCCCCAGAAAAGGCCCCTGGGTTCCTGTCCCTGGCCCCCAAGGCAAAGAATAGTGGAGAAGGAAGGCACCAGCAGATGGCTTTGGGCTTTGTCAGTCCTGTCCTCCCTGTGCTTTATTTCCGTAGGGCGTCAGAGAGGGGGTTCTTTGGGTTGCTCCGAATAAAACACTGGTTTCACTTAAGTGGTTTCCAGTTCCGTAGATGTTAGTGGCTGTGTTTGCCTCAGTGCTGATTTTCCTAGGAAAGATGGACTTACAATATTTTATGTCCCTATCTACTCCAGTGTCAAATTTCTTGTGGGCTAACCCACATCTCTTTCTAACAGTTCAGATTCGGTTTTGGCAGGTCCTTGAGCTCTTCATATGCTAGAAAGGGGAGGGAAATGCGGATTGTCCGGCACCTGCTGTGCGTCAGGTGCTGGGTGTGCTGGTGCTTTTACCCATGCTGCTTATTTCTCTGTCCTCACCCCAGCCTCTGAGTTAGATGGTGTTGCACCGTTTTGCTGATGGGGAGAAGGGGAATTGAGGCTCAGAAAGGTTAAGCATCTTACCTGAGGTGGCTCCCCTGGGAAGTGGCAGAGCCAGAATTTCAGCTGGGTGTGTCAGAGGTTCTTTTCTTAGTGTGAGGGTTTCCTCTGATGTTTATGGCTTTTTGCCACATTAATTTGTTGGAATGTTGATGGTGTTTTGATCATTCTAATTACCTTTGACATTGTTCAAGATTAGCTAGCTCTCTTTGTGCTAAAGATGTTTATTTTCCTTTCCATTGAAACTATGCAGATTTTTATATATTTGTATCTATGTTATCTTCCTTCCTTTTGTGAATCTCGTTTCAAAACACAGCAACTTGATTTCCCAGAGCAGGGGGTACAGAGATGATCTGCAGTTGCCTTGCCCTGAGGGCTCATGGCTGGGATGGAGCCTCCCATCCTGGAGATCGGGGCAGTGTGAGCCATGAAACATTTAAACACGTTCATGCATGATGAGGCGATGCCCGGATCCTTTCGGAGAATGAACTGTTTGTTCTACAAGTTAGAGAAACATTTTATTTTTTGCCATACCTTTATAATTTTACTTTTATATTAACTCTAATTTTGGCTGTATTTTTGTTTTGGTGTATGTTGTACAGTGTGGTTCTTCTAATAAAATTGATAATCAGTTTGTATAACACTGTGATTAAATATCACTGGATCATGTTTCAAGTTTTTATCTAGTTCGTCTTTCTGAAACCTTTCAACTCATTGCTTTACATTCAGTTTTTGCTCCAGTACTCACTGTCTAATGGGCTTCCTCAGTTTCCTGGAGGGAGAGAGAGTACTCACCTTTCCTTTTTTTCGTTTTGAATAAGTTTGCCTTGGCTGTGTGGACATTGAGAGGCAGTCTAGGCTTCCTGAAGGGGGGTTGCGAAGGCCCTGCAGTACACCCAAACGGGAGGGAGTGTCATTGTTTCTCCCGAGCTTCAAAGCCTTCAGCTACTCGCGGTTTGGCGATGTCCTTAGCAGAGCACTGGGGAGGTCCAGGTGCCTGTCCAGTGCTTTTCTTCTGGTACTTTATTTAATTTGCCAAGGTATAGGGGAGTTGGGATTGGAATCCAGGACTGTCTGAGTCCAGATTCCTGCTCTTCGTGTGTTCTTCTGTAGATCGGATTTAAACGCACCACCTGACTAATTGCGTTTTGACATTGTAAAGGAAAATAAAGGAACGTTTATTTTCGGCTGCGTTCTCCAGGCTGGGTTTCCTCATGCTTCGTCTTCATGACCTGTCCTAGACCAGAGAACTTAGACATGGCCATAGACATGTGTGTGTGTGTGTGTGTGTGTCACTAACCGGTGTGGGTCCTCGACCTCAAGTCTTGGTGGTCCTAAGCTTTATTTTTCTCTCCTGATAATTTATCTTCACTGAGCCAACCTCCTAACCTGAGGTATTTTTATTTTATTTTTTTCTTCCCTTTTGTTTTAGTTTTTTGAATTGCTGGAGGGCACATGTGCTCACCAGATAGAAACAGAGGTAGAGAGTGGGTAAGTGAGAAAGCACCCCCACACACACACAGAGGGGATGGCCATGCTGCAACCCCTTTTCTTCCAGTCTCCTCTTAGGATTTTGGGTATGGGCCCAAATGTGTCACCTGAGCTGCTGGGTCTGGGATTAACCTGTATAATCAGCTATGTGGGATCCAACTGCCTTAGCCACCAGGCCATTGTCTGGCTTGCTCTCTCTCTCTCGTTAAAGTTTGTATCTTCCGAGAGAGAGAGAAAGAGAGAGAGAGAGAGAGAGAGAGAGAGAGAGAGAATGGTTGAGAGAGAAGATCCAGGTGATTGGCAGGGTCCTCATGGTATCCTCTCCCCAGCTGACCTGGATCATGGGCACATGTGCACAGCTGGCTTGCTCAGGGAGGACTTGGACACAAACTTACGACCTTTCCATGTGGGGACAGTCGTGTTACCACTGCAACACCACCTGGCCCTTATGTCCATTTTCTTATGTCCGTGTTTGTCTTTTCTCTAGTTTCTCTTTGGACCAAGATGACTGATGGAAACTTTTCCACCTCTACAAATGGCATAGCCTTGATGGGCATACTGGATGGAAACTCCCTTCAGAACCTGCAGCACGTGACTCTCAAGGCGTCCAGATCCCTCTCGGCTCCTGAGCATGGGCCCAAGCTGAAGCTCGGTGCTTTAGATGATCGGCATAGCCTGCAGTCAGTGGACTCGGGCATTCCTACCCTGGAGATTGGCAACCCAGAACCCGTCCCCTGTAGTGTGGTTCACGTGAAGAGGAAACAGTCTGAGTCAGAGATCATCCCCGAGAGAGCCTTCCAGAGTGCGTGCCCCCTGCCGTCCTGCCCAGCACCGGCTCCTGCGAGCACCGAGCGGGAGCAGAGTGTGCGCAAGTCCTCCACGTTTCCCAGGACGGGCTATGACTCGGTGAAACTCTACAGCCCCACTTCCAAAGCCCTGAACCGCAGCGATGACGTCTCCGTCTGCAGCGTGTCCAGTCTTGGCACGGAGCTGTCAGCCACACTGTCTGTCAGCAATGAGGACATCTTGGACCTCGTGGTCACAAGCAGCTCCAGTGCGATTGTGACCCTGGAGAACGACGATGACCCACAGTTTACTGATGTCACCCTAAGCTCCATCAAAGAAACCAGTGACTTCCACCAGCAGGACCGTGTTGATGAATCTGAGGAGGGGAGTAAATTGAAAATATTGGGACCATTTAGTAACTTCTTTACAAGGTAATGGCCTCTCTGTCTCTCTAGAAGAGCCAGGTGATTGAATTCAGGCCAGTTGGCTTGTTCTTGTCCGAAGTGTGTTGCATGTTCTCCTGTCTTGTTAGGCAAGCAGGCACCATGTCGTATAAGAGCTGATGCCTTTCCCCAGGAGCCTGGAATCCTGTGGAGCCAGTGCAGCACTGGTGGTTGGTGATTCTGCTGTTTGACTCCTCACTGCCAGTTGTTACTTGTGTGTCTCTGGCTCACTGGTCCAGTCTGCTGTTGCTTCCCAACCTCTGACCTGTTAGGACTATGGGTGACCCACAGGTGGCCAGCATTACCAAATAACTAATCTTAGTTTGTAGGCCTTGGCCTCTGAAGGGCCCTTTACACTAATCACTTGAGTTTCTTGGACCAAGCACAGTGTGTTGATGAGGACTGTTCGGTTAGTAACTCATATCTCTAACTGTAGTGCCCACTGACACAGCTCAGGACGGGCTTGTCTGGTGCCCCTAGCTGTGTTCCCTGTGGGCCTGCATGGCTGTGCTGGCTGTGTTCATGACTTGGCTCTGGTCCTGTTGCTGAGGTGTGTGCTGTCTTTGGAGCACAACCTCATGCCTTCCCACCTGTGTTGCGAGCAGGCCATGCACCATCTGCCTGTGGTACCCTATCACCCAAGTGCTAAACCAGGCCTTCTGGGGTCCCTGTGTCTTTCCTAAAGCTCTATGGGGACAACTTTAGCTTTTCTCCATTTTTGTTTCTTGTTTTTAAGTTTTTTCCTGGTATAGGGTGCATGTGCTAGCCAGAGAGGTGAGACAGAGGCAGAGAGAGAGAGAGAGAGAGAGAGAGAGCGAGCAAGTGAGAGAGCGAGAGAAAGTGAGAAATCACCCCCCCCCCGGTGGGGAGATGATCACACTAGTGTCTTCTTCAGTCTTCTTTTTGGGTTTTGGGCATGCATGCACATGTGCCTGGTGTGTTTTTCAATCTGCTGCTCTGAGACTTAAACTGCACAATTGGGGGACCAGCAGATGGCATAATGATTATATCACTGGACTCCCACATAATTGACTGTGGTTAGAGTCCTGGACCTGGTGGCTTAAATTCATGTCGGATGTGTGTGCGTGCATGCCCAAAATCCCAAGAGGAGAATGGAGAAGAGATTGTGGCGTGACCATACCCCCAGTGGATGATTTCTTGCTTTCTGTCTCTCTCTCTCCGGTGAGCGCATATGGCCTATAGCAAAAAATCTCTCTTAAAAAGAAAGGAAAAAAAAAACAAAAAAAACCCCCCAAAAAATAAGCAATCGGCCATGTGGGATCTAGCACCTTAATAACTATCACGCCACCTGCTGGCCCTTTAGTGCCTTTCCTGTGCTCTAGTGGGTGTTTAGACCCTGTCCTGGGCAGGCATATGGCTGTATGGTGATACGGCTGTAGAAATGATCTTAGGTAATGACCTTAAGTGGTCTTGCAGCCTGGGGTCAGTGGGCATGGACACATTAATCAATGATGTGAACAGGGGAAGGGCATGGGGACTGTGGCATATATATGCAGAACTGTGACCTGCTCCATGGCTACTCTTCAGAGGGCTCAGGGTCCAGGGCTTGGCAAGTGGGACCATTTCGTGGGTGACCCTGGCTGCTCCTGTGCATGTGCCCCTAGTGAACCCCCACTTGACCTCACTGGGAGTCCCTTCGAGATGGCATGATGTGCTGGCTGGAGTCCACGGAGGCGTCTTTGACTGTGGGCACACATACTAACTTATCTCTGGCGCATTTGCTTCGTCAGGGAAGTGTGGGATCCCTTGGATGAGCCCAGGAGTGTCCTGAGAGAGATGAGCTTGAACGCAGCCTGTGGTTGCATGGTGCCAGCATTTTTCTCTGATACGCTGTCAGGTGTACATCCTACCACCGTGCGAGTAGACTTTCTGGCCTCTGATCTCAGGAACTCAGTGATGGCCTTTGGTGACAGGAACCCGGAACCTGTGGGGAGCTTCTGTGTGCGCTCTGTCGGGGGACTGGTAGCCATATCGTAGTGTTATGGTGGTTCCACCTCGTGTGGCCGAACTGGTCCCTTTACTCAGAGCAGCATTCTTAACTTCCCCTTTTTATGAATACCACATGGTACCTGTTCCATGTGGACCCTCAGGATCCATCCAG